GCCTGGGGCTCAATTCCCGCGCGTGCGCAGGTGAGACCATCCCACTACGGTAGTGAAAAAAATATGGCCATAGAGGGCAGTATGATGGTAACATTTGATTACATGTACTATTCTGATTGTAGAATATTTTAGCTTGACTTTTATATTTTTGCTGAAAACAGTATTTTGGTGTATTGTATGCAATTTATCTTTTTGTTTTATAAAAAATTAAAAGCAGAAACAAGATTTTATTGTTTGCCAGTTATTGGTCAGTAGCGAGTAGTACAGATCATGCAGTTAAAATTGTTAAAACTGTCTTTATACATTTGTGTGTTTTAAATAATGTATCGCGTTTAAAGGGACATTTTGTCAAATAAAGGGACAGATGTCAAAGATACTTTTTGTGATAGTTGATAAATACCAACGCTGTAAATTAGATGCAGATTAGTCATATTTCTGCTTATAAGCGAAAAATATTTATTTGCTGCCAAGTGATGTGATTGTGGTTTATTTATTCGATTTTACGGTTCGTGAATAGCATCACAGAAATGTAGACACGAGTAAGGTCTTTTTATAACGTTGTAATAATACACTAATCTGTATACCGTTTTTCAAAATCAATTTACTAATGCAGTGCTGTGAAAACATGAACCAACTTAATTCAAACAACTAAAACTGATTGGTCAGTGTTGGCCATCTATGGACATAGTTTGACCCTAATTAACATATTTTATGCAATGACACTTGGCTAGCGGAGCTATCACTATAACATCAAATAGAACGATGAATATCACTATAAAATTAATAACTAGAAAATTAATGTTCATGACAGGTCATTTTCTGTCATTGTCTGAGTCGAGGTCTGATGAACAAAACTTTTACAAGGGCATGTTTTTCCCCCATCTTGTTTAAATTTTAACAATCATCCCTGGTTCTGTTAATTTACAAACTATTTCTTATGCAATGTGTACATAAAAAAAAATGTTTCCTTTCATGAATTTCAAAATGAAAATAAGTGCAACATCTCCAGAGGAGCAAGTATTCTGAGGGAGTCTTATCTGAAGGGAAATATTTGAGAGAATCAATGGGATCCTGTCTACAAACAAAAGTTCTTGATTTATATTTGTTAGAGGGCGCTATTAGCTTGAGTACTGTTTGTACCGGGTATATATGTCTGAATAAAGTTACATTTATTGTATTAAAAAACTAGTGTAGTATGTCTGTTTTTCAGTTACCATCACATGAGATGCTTGGGAGCTACCATGAAATTCGCATTCAGTTGTACACAGGAATTTTAGACTAAACTAATAACAAAGTAAAACATTCAACAATTCTTACCAATGCACCACAATATGCATCTGTAAATGTAAATGTTGTCTTCTGCTTCTGAAAAATTTAACTTCGAATTCTGGGAAATAACAACCGTGACAGTGTTGAATACATCAATTCTAATGATTTTATTTTCTGTTCAGAATTGTTCCTCTCATAAGTGATAAAAAAATCAAGATGGTTGAATTTGGAAGTCGGTCAGTGAAGTACACCCCCCCCCCCACTTTGTTTATATCATTCAAGTTTTATACAAAACCAAAACCATAATTTGTTGAGTAAGCACAAATATATGTAATCAAAGAAAGCTTAGAAAGAACCATGCACTTAAGAGTATTAGGGCATGATGTACAAATAAGAGATACTGTATTTACTGTATACCATATCTTCAATACACAAAGCAAGAATTGTATTTATTGCATACTCAATCATTGAACAGAGTCGTATTTTGACAACAGACTTGCCTTCGTCTGAGAGGTCTGTGCATTATCCAAGACCATCTACGGCATGCACTAATTTTCATTCAAATTTGATAATTGGTTACCGGTATTGAGATATCAGTGGAACAGACACACGCATGCATTAACTGCAAAGACTCCCATTGTGTGCTTTGACACATTTTATTATAATTGATTGTATGTAGATTTCAGACATTAATTAATGCAAGTATTTAATTTTACTATTTCACAATGATGAAAATACAAAACTGTTACAGGTATATTGAATTGGTCATACCAGTTACATCATGATTTGTGGATGAAAACATTTTCCGACTTCCACGCACCTCCATCAGAAATGATATCTCTACTTGAACAAATACTGTAAACATATTAATTATTCACTGTTTTTGGCTATTTTTGTAAAATTCACTAAATCCACATGAACATGTAACGGTAGAATAACAATAGAACTGAAAATCCAGTGAAATTGTCAAAACATTAAATTAGTGAAAATAAATGGTTTTACAGAGTGAAAAATTTAAATTGCAATATGCAGTAGTTAAAAACTGACGCACTATAAAACAAGTATTACAGACAAGAATCAGATAAATTGAGCCTATCTAGTCTGAAAATAAAATCTTTATTAGAAGCGGCACCAATTACGTTTTTAAAAATTGAGAACCAAAAATTCACCATTTCCCATGTGTAGATGCTGTAATAGAAGCTTTGTTGCATCATATCATCTGATTTTACAGCAACCAAAATATCGACAATTAACGATCGTAATATTCCTCCAACTTTGCACCATGCTTTCAAATTTTTGCACATTGCATTGCTATATTTTTTTACAACAAATCCTCTAGCAACTCCCCCCCCCCCAATAATTTGAAATATTTGACCCCTAGATCAACACAACATTTATACATTTCCAGAGAAATAAAAATACAGAAATGGCTTTTATGGAATGTCAAATTCTATAGTTGCTGATGCTAAATATATAATGCGAGAATTTATTGCTGTTCTAGGGTAACGATACCCCTACAAACAACCACGATGTCTAAACTTTAGGGGTCAGGCACGAAGCAAAGCATGTCATATTGCAAAAGTTGCTTGATAATGCACACTTTGCAAACGTCTCTGAAAAAACCTTAAATTGTGTCCATCAAACACAGTGTTGAATTTGGTTCATGGGCAAATTGACTGCACACATAAAATACATTCTATTTGAAAATGTGGCCGTAAACTAGATGCTATAAAATACTTTGTCAGTTGGAATTAATTTTCGCTATTTTCCCTGCAGGAATGATTCAATGAAAATAAAATCCAGCGAATATACCTGTTTTTCTATATTTTACATTCAACTTCTCAAAAATCAGTGAAAATAAATTTCATACAAAAACCCATAAACTCTTTTCAGCAAAAATTAATTCCAGCTAAAACAAGCCATGCATGGCACATTCCCTGTTAGTTATCGAATTTAAGATATATAGTTTTGTTCATAGTAATATAGCTGGAACATAAACATGTCAGGAATATGATTATAATGATTGTTTGATTGACATTTCTATCTGATCGTCAAACGAGTATTGAGAGATATTGCTCTGGAACAGCATTAATTAAAACAAAATCAGCCATTTTGAGTACATGTATAATGAATATATAAAATTTGAACATAATCAGTCAAAGCATGTCAGAGATATGGCACTGCATTCATTAATACAAAATGGCCACCAGTCGGCCATTTTAAATCCGATCTGAAAAATAAAATGACATCAGGAACTCATGTCTAATGGGTTAGACCATAAATGCCAGAAATGCTTGACATTTGATGATTTGTTAGAACAAAAATGGCCACCATTCGACCATCTTGAATCAGATCGTGGAACAAATTGATGTGCATATGTATAATATCATGTACATGTATAATGTATGTGTGAAGTTTGATTGTGATTGGTCCAGGCATTTCCAAGATACAGATCCGGACTCACGCACAGACACACAGAGGTCAAAACACAAGTCCCCGTTTTCGGACTCGTACAAACAGGGACTAATAAAGTATTTTAAAATTGTAAGTGTAAGAAACCAAAGATTTATGCAGTGTCTTGAAGTCCACCTCGGGCGTCAAGCTCTCATACCAATAATTAGAACTCCATAGACGACAATGTTACTATTTGGGTGAATAGGTTACAAAAAGCGAAAAAATGTTATAATACTTGTCAATAAACAAAGCTACACACACAACAGCTGACGTAATTGAAGTACGCCCTCATACATCACATTTCAGAAAATGCGGTGAAAAATATCAATTGGCTGTCAACCATGCGATTTCAGGGTTATGAAGACTGATAGGATAATTGGTGGTACGAGACCATATGAAAACTTATTTAATCAGTTATGACCCAGAAGACCCATGGCCTATTCCAGTCAGTAGAAGAAAAAAATCAATACCCCAAATAGTATTTATTCTTGCGAAATAAACCTAATTTGTCAATGCGAGAACATCTCTACGGTAGTATCCAGTGGTGATCATGTAAACTTAAGTGACAATGCAAACTTAAAGCGGGGGAGTCATCACCTGCACATGCCTCAGATGGCCATAGCGTGTCATTGTTTACAAACAAGCGTCTACGCATGAGCCTTTGCATTTTTAGCATGTGTCGTTACCGTCGATTGGGACTCAATTTCCGTGTGTGCACAGGTGACGACCCTCTCGCTTTAATCAACATTTACTTTTCAAGAACAAAGCATGCAATACACAGTTAACAGAAGCTATGAACACTTTTATTGAACTTCTAGAAATGTACAATCCTAACAGTGGATTTCATCCAGCACAACTTGAAATTGATTACAAACATGCTCGGCCTGATTAAAAATAAAAATTAAGTTTTAAAAAGAGATTTAAATCTTAAGTCGGTATAGCAGACAGCCATGGAGCAAAAACAAAACTAGTTTTAAATAAAATAAAAAAAAAAATGGTTTCGTGTTTCTTATTGGGGAAATTTGATGCAGTTTAATTTTTGTTTTAAGAATAATTCATTAGTATATTTAACATCATGTTCAACATTTATCAAATACATAAGCTTGAGTACATGAAGTAACACATCTCAATTGAGGTACGCAAAATTGAAAATAAAAAGTGTGACTTGCCAGTTTCCAAAAGACAGACAAAAAGGAAACCATTTCTTTTTGGCCCATGTATATTTGGTAGCATTAAAATATTTACAAAATGTAACAACTTAATCTCTCCATAATCCTTGGCAGATCAATTTCATCACAGTTTATAAAGTTGACAATAAGATGTATACAATGAATGGCAGAAACCTGGAGATGTTATAAACGTTTTATAAATATAGATTTTAAATTGACAAATCTAGAAATGGTATAGTAACATCATCGTTAGTTTTAATTAATATTAATTAATTCAATCAGTAAGCACTTCATTTTGAACTAGTGGGCAGTTGCAGAGTTGCTCTGTCATGTCAAGGCACACAGGTGCATTATGGGTATGAATAATGTTGAGATCTTTAGCCAATCACGATTAAATATTCTAATTTTAGCTGATGATTATTATTCGCAATTTTTATATATATTCATAAAATAAGGTACAGCATTCTGCCTTTCACTGTAGATTATTATGCATTAAACAGTAAATGCTTTCTAAACAAAATGTCTTGTTTTTTTGTTTTTTTATAAATGTCTACTAAATCCTGAATTCTAAGTTCCCAGAGCCAAAAACATCGCAGGTGTGATGTGACCATGTTGCCGTACAATGATTTAACCTTTTCACAAGTTCCCTCTTTTTCACAAATTCATAAAATAGTCCTTTTTAAAGTCTGCACTTTCTTCAGAAGAATGGAACCAAATTTTTTTCAGTAATAAGTGAAAATTGACTAAAATTAGGATTATTTCCAAAGAATTGAAGAATATAAGAAAAAAAGTGCAGATAAATTCAGGCGAGAAAGTCTGTTGGTGAGAGGGTTAAATCAAAAGAACGAATTTAAATTATAGATCATCAATAATGACTGCATTAAAGTGTATTGCTTTCAGCAACATCTTCCAAACAACTGGCGTAATTCAAAAACATTTACTTTCCCCACATAATGTCAACAAATACAGCATTTGTTCTATTAGTAGTGCATGCACCTAAGTAAATGATAAGTTTAGTTGATGACAAAATTGATCCAAAAAAAAAAAACAAAGGTGTCTCAATAATGGCTTTGGACAGTTTGGGTTATGCCTGTGTAGTGTATTTGCTTCATAAGGAATACATGAAAATCAGGTAAAACTCTTTGTTTCACCCATTTAACATGTATACAGAAATGGGCACTTTCAGGCATGTATGTGAATGACGCCCTCAATATTGTTGCTGTCTGATTACATATATATATCTGTGATTCAGATGCTCGCAAACATTGATACTTTTCCTGGTAATGTTTCAAAATTTTTTCCAAAATTGTTCTAATTTTTTTCAAGAAATTCAGACAAAAAGTTGAAATGCAAATAATTAGAAATGTCCCATGACGCTAGTTGCCATTTTCGGCAAAATGTCCTAAGCCAATTTTGAGACAAAATTTTTTGTTTTTCATATGGGACATAATGTTGTCCTTGAGTTCAGTTCTGAGTAAAGTTTTTTTTTTCACAACAAATCAACAAACAATGGTACATTTAAAATGCATCTAAGTTCTCCTTAGTGTCATTCATAAATACAGTGATAATTATTGTAAAGAAACCTATTTACGAGTCTAGGCTGAAAGGTATGGTACCGTTGATCAATATAGTATGTATCAGTTTGTAACGTTTAAAACCCAGTTGTTGCATTTGTGAATGAAGTCTGTATGTCGTGTTTTCTTTTCTCATGCCAGTGCAAGAACAGAACATGATCTTTATTGTATCCTACAAAGTAAAATCTCTGAATGAAAAAAATACAGTGATGCCACTGTGCAGACGGATAAAATGAATTTTAGAAAATTTACGAGTTCTGACACTGCTAGGTGGTGAAACAGACTAATAACAACTTTAAACGATGTACAATGTACTCAATATTATGTGATTTTAAAACGATGAACAATATTAATCAGATGTAAACATCGCAAATGTAATTATTTTATGGACATGATGTTTTTTTTATATGCTTTAACCGACACAGGTATACTGTGTCAGCGTACAAAATACAGCATGTACCAGTACGATCGAAAAATATAAAGCCATTTCAAAAGTAAATTTATAATACGGAATACTGAATGAAAAGCACATTGGCTGGTAAAATGAGATAAAAATAATACATTAATTTTAAAAAATATGTTGAAAAAGTCATCTGTATGATGGCAGTGATGTCTGTCAACTACCACTTGCCGGCTGGGTTACAGCGCCCTCTATAGGTGACCAGTTGTTATTTTGTTGTGCTGGTTGGCTTCTCATCTCGGTCATCCTGTGAAAAGTAATAGCAATGTTATGTTATTAAAATAATAATTCCTTTTTAAGACGTCTGTCCATGCATCAGATTTCATTTCCCAGACATGCTTTGGCTAATTTTGTTCAAGGTTGGTACAAAGACAAATCCGAATGAAAGACGTACACAATGGGACACCTTGATTTATTTTTTGTTCTGTTGACCTTTTATTAGCTGGTGGCCATTTTTATTATTAAAAAAAACGCCAAAAAAAAATTTGAAAATTTCGTCAACGGTTTCTTATTTAATTTGAACTTAGCATTGACATCAATCATGGTGGGCGAAAAGTGAACATTAATTAGGCTTTCAAGTCCTTTCAGGCTTGAAAGCCTATTGTTTTTGTTATGTTTA